AGAGCAGCTTGCTGGCTCAGTTGGTAAAGTTGCTTTCTCCCAAGCCTGATGACCTGAGTTTAATCCCTGGGACCCACATGGTGACAGGAGAGAACCAACTACTGCAAGTTGTCCTCTGACTTCCATGTGCTGTGGTATCTCCCCCGCCTACCACATACACATACGGATAAAAACACAAATAAATAATGTAAGAAAATTAGAGAGAAGGAAAGGTGACAAGAACAGAAGGGCTAGCTTGCCACAGTTTTAAGAAGTGGCTTAGCATACCACGGGGGATATGTGTGGAAGCCTTGGGTTGTTCAGGCAGCAGAAGAGGGTGTGTGTGTGTGTGTGTGTGTGTGTGTGTGTGTGTGTGTCTGTGTCTCCGTGTGTGTATGTGTCTCTGTGTGTCTATGTGTGTGTGTCTCTGTGTGTGTGTGTGTCTGTGTCTCTGTGTGTGTGTGTGTCTCTGTGTGTCTGTGTGTGTGTGTCTGTGTGTGTGTGTGTGTCTCTGTGTGTGTCTCTGTGTGTGTGTCTGTGTGTGTGTCTGTGTGCGTGTGTGTGTGTGTCTGTGTCTGTGTGTCTGTGAAGACCTGTGTGTCTGTGTCTCTGTGTATGTGTGTGTGTGTGTGTCTGTGTATGTGTGTGTCTGTGTCATGTGTGTGTGTCTGTGTGTGTCTCTGTGTGTGTGTGTGTCTCTGTGTGTGTCTCTGTGTGTGTGTCTGTGTGTCTGTGTGCGTGTGTGTGTGTGTTTGTGTGTGTGTGTCTGTGTCTGTGTGTCTGTGTGTCTGTGTCTCTGTGTGTGTCTGTCTCTCTGTATATGTGTGTGTGTCTGTGTGTTGTGTGTGTGTGTCTGTGTGTGTGTGTCTGTCTGTGTCTGTGTGTGTGTGTCTGTGTATGTGTTTGTGTGTGTGTGTGTGTCTGTGTGTGTGTCTGTGTGTGTGGCAGAGGGAGAGGTCAGAAGCTTCATTGGGGTCTCTGAATGAAGGAATGGGTGAGGCTGGGTAAAGAGACACGGGGCCCGATATCCTGAATAGTTTCAGAAACCCTGGGCACCCGGATGTCCCCAGTGACCTGGTTCCCAATCTTGGGGTCATGAGAGCAGTGTCCAGTGTCCTCATTGTTAGTGTGGTGAGAGAGGTGGTTGAGGTGCAGCCCCAAGTCAGTTTGTAAGTGAGCAGTGTGCCCTGGGGAGAGCCATTTGCCATCGCTATCACACCCACAGGAGGGGAGCATCTCCTCTCAGAGGCTAGGTGCAGCCCTATGGCTGAGGCTGCCCTCCTTACCCTTCTGCAGGAAGCCTCCTTCGAGTACCTACAGAATGAGGGTGAACGGCTGCTCTTGGAGGCCATGGACGAGCTGGAGGTGGCATTCAACAACACCAGTGTGCGCACCGACTGTAACCACATCTTCCTCAATTTTGTGCCCACTGTCATCATGGACCCATTCAAGGTTCTACTTCTCGGGGCGCTCTGCTGGGTTTTGGGTCCATGTTCCCGTGGCTCTTCGTACCAAGCTGCTTTGGGGTGGTGTCTCCTGGCCCTTGAGGCCCGAGTTCTGGGGTGAACATGTGGGTATCTAAACATCAGGAGAAGAGCAAACCTGTATTTCTATAGCCAGATTTCAACCATGGCTTGTATGGGCCCAGACACCATGCACACCTAGAGTCCTGGCAGAGTGTTGTGTCCTCTCTGGCTCCAGGCTCTGCTGGGGCTGTGTGTGGGTAGGGCAGAGAGTCTGAAGTCTGTGGCCCTGAGGTCTGTAGCTGGGGCATTCTTCACCAGCTGGTTTTGCAGTAGGCAGCCTCTGATGATCCTGACCTAAGTATCTAGGGTACACAGGACTCATGAGTATACCTGACCTAACTAGTCCACACAGTCCAAAAAATATCACGCATGGGCTGGAGAAGCCCTGAAAGGTGCATGACCTGGGAGCACTAGCTCTGAACCCATCAGCCTGTCTCCATCTCCTCATCTGTCACTAGGGGATGTAGCTCAGTGGTAGAGCACTTGTCTGACATGCACAAGGCTCTGGGTTCTATCCCCACCATAAAAATAAAAGCCAGGGGCTGGAAAGATGGCTCAGCAGTTAAGAACACTGACTGTTCTTGCAGAAGACCTGGGTTCGAATCCCAGCACCCACATGGCAGCTAACAACTGTCCGTAACTCCAGTTCCAGGGGAACCAACATCCTCTTCTGTCCTCCATGGACATTGCATGACACGGGTGCACTTACCTACATGCAGGCAATATACACATACACATAAAATAAAAACAGTAAATAAAGCATTTAAAAAAAATAAAAGACAGGGAGAAGAAAGAAATGCTCGATTCACTATGGACTTAAGAGGACAAAATGAGATAGTGGGTTTTTAATACCTAGCAAGGCATCTTCAATTTTTAGTAGTAGCTAATGGTTTGTAGCAGGTTCCAGGCATTTTTTCCTTAGCTTATCTTACTGTCCCTTACTGTGAGAGCTATTGTAGTGTAGGGTGGGTTCTGATGGTGCTGTGCCGGTCACAGATCGAGGAGTCAGTGCGCAGCATGGTCATGCGCTATGGCAGCCGGCTGTGGAAACTCCGTGTGCTGCAGGCTGAGGTCAAGATCAACATCCGCCAAACGACCATGGACTGTGCTGTTCCCATCCGCCTATTCATCACCAATGAGTCAGGCTACTACCTGGACATCAGCCTCTACAAAGAAGTCACCGATGCCAGATCTGGAAACGTAAGGGCGGCCTGGGCTGCAGGGTCTAAGTCAAAGCAGACACAGCCACAGATACAGAGAGAGTAAAGTAGCCTTTGTGGCCCTCCCACCTTGCTTCGTCTTGTCTTGGTAGATCATGGCAGCTTCTAAGAGGTCTGTGACTAGATGGCTTCAGGTTGTGCTGGATGTGGTGGTTTGTGAATCCTGACTGTTCACTTTCTAGGCAGGAGCACACAGCCTCCAAGGTTGAGTTCACCCTGTTGGCCACATTGGGGATGGCCAACCACCTTGTAGAACAGACTTTTGTAAAGTGAACCAGAAATCATTTTACATATACATACACATGTATAAATTATAAGTGTGTATGTGTATGCATATATGTGCATATATACACTTAAAATATTTTATTTTATTATTTTTGTTTAATGTGTGTAAGTGTATTGCTTACATGTAGGTAAGTGCACCCATGTCTCGCAGTGCCGGTGGAAGTCAGAAGAGGGCATTGGATTCACTGGAACTGGAGTTACGTATGGTTGTTAGTCGCTAAGTGGGTGCTGGGAATCAAACCCAGGTCTTCTGCAAGAGCAACCAGTGCTCTTAACCACTCAGCCATCTCTAGCCCCACACCTTTTATTTGAAATAGTAAGGCTCAAAATTCTCAAGTTATGAAAATGATACAGAACAAAAAAATGGATGGAGGGTCTGGAGTGGTGGCTCAGCAGTTAAAAGCTCACACTGCTCTTGCAGAGCACCAGAGTTCAATTCCCAGCATCTGTGTTGGGTGGTAACAGCCTGTGACTCCAGCTCCAGTGGAATATGATGCCTCTGGCTAGAGTGGGCACCTGCACTCACATGCACATACTTACACATAGAAGCATACACACATACACATAATTCAAACATTGGATGGAGTGTTCCCATATACCCTTCACCCAGCTTCCCCCAAGGACACATTTCATGTAAACCATAGTATGTTACCCAAACTGGAAATCAACATAGGTACAGTGCTGTTCCCTCAAATACAGGCCTTATTTGTTTCCATGATTTTTACATGCACATCTTTGGGGGGGATGTTACTACAATCATATTTTGGGGCTTTGTGTCCAGTCTCTCTGGCTGCCACCGTGGTGAAGAGGACATACACTGTCCCAGACACTGGGTTTGCTACATAATGCATAGCAGATCTGCTGACTGCGACAAGAAGCTGAGGAGCCCGGCTACCTGGACCCGCCTCCCTCCCTCACTTCCTTCTTCTTTCTTTCTGGTCCAGATCATGTTTCATTCCTTTGGCAACAAGCAAGGGAGCCAGCATGGGATGCTCATCAACACTCCCTATGTCACCAAAGATCTTCTCCAGGCCAAGCGATTCCAGGCGCAGTCTTTGGGGACCACCTATGTGTACGACTTCCCGGAAATGTTTCGGCAGGCAAGTCCAGTGCGCAGACACACACCACCCCCATCCTTAGTTATACTTCTGAGATCACTACCCTGCATCACACACTAGATAAGGTCTTCCTGGAGAAAATTAAGTTAATGCAACAATGATTCCATGGATAATTTTTCCCAGAATAAACCTAACTTTATCCCATTGATTAGTGACATGATATAGAAACTTCAGAAAACAAAGGAAATTGGGAAAAACCCTCATAGTTCCATGACCTATGACAAATTGCTTAACATTTTAATATTAGCTTGTGGTTTATTTATTTATTTGCATGCTTATTTATTGTGTGTTTATATGTGTTCGTGTTTGTGTACATGTGTGCATGTGTGTGTGGAGGTCAGTGATTTGCATATCATGTGTTCTCTTCAATCATTCTCCACCTTATATTTTGAGACAGGGTCTCTCATAGAACCTGGAGGTCACCAATTTAGCTAGACTGACTGCCTGTCTAACTCCAGGGATCCTCGTGTCCTGCCTTCCCAGCACATGTTGCTGTGCCTGGCTTTTAACTGGGTACTGGGGATTGAACTCAGGGCCTCAAGCTTTCGTGGCACACACTTTGCTTACTGAGCCATCATCCCCAGCCTCTGCTTCTGATTGCTTTAATGTTCATTTATTAAGTAACTGCTGCTTGCCAGGTTCCATTACAAGGCTAGACAGACCATGGGGAAGAGGAGCTCTTATTTGTATGTATATATGTGTATATATAGCATTTTAACTTAAAGTAAGTAGCCTCAGGATTCTCAAAAAGTTGTAAAAACAGTACAGGAAAAAAATGTACAGGGGGCTGGATAGATGCTCAATGGCTAAGAGCACTGGCTTCTCTTGCAGGGGACCTGGGTTTGGTTCCCAGTACATACATTGTGGTTGACAACCATATGTAACTCCAGTTCCAGGTGATCCAGTGTCCTCTTTTGGCCTCTGTGGACATTTATGTGGTACGCTTATATACATGCAGGCAAAACACTCATATACAAAAAATGTAAATTAATTAATTAAAAAATTTAAAACTGGACCAAGTATGCCCATGTACAACTTCCCCAGTGGCACATTCTGATTAGTCACAAAATGTTAGCCAAACAAGAAGTTGATAGCGGTACGATTGGCTTTGAGGAATGTTTACTCCACTCTTAAGGCAATGCTTATGGAACCAAATTCAGTGGCACCTTCCTGTGGTTTCGGCTACTTGAGAGGCTGAGGCAGGGGCATCATTTAAGCCAAGAGTTGGAGGCTAGGTTGGGCAACATATGGAGGCCCAGTCTTTGGAGGAAAGAAGGGGAAATGTTTTGTTATGTTTTCCTGATTATTAAAGTATTCATTTAGACACTGTAGAAAAACAGGAACAGGAAAAAAGTGACAGCTGTCTGTGACATGCCCACCAGGTGCTTGCAGGAGCTCTTACCAGTGCTTCCTTCAAATATCTTTTAGGTGCCTTTATTTTATGTAGAGCAGCCTTCGAAGGAGATGGGACATGCTGACATTGGTGACGTGGATATCACTTCACATCCCCTCTGTTGTTATGAGACTAAGGTCTGAAATTAAGTTTCAGGACCTTCCACTGTAGCCAGGGAGGGTCGGCTCCTACTTGTGCTGTCAGAGGAGCTGGAAATAGACAGAAGCTTCCCAGGCAACGTTCTCAACCTCTCTGGACCTGGGTTTCCTCCTCTTTAAAATGAGAATACCTCACGTGGTTGCTGGAGAAATGTCAGTATTCAGTAGGTGCTTAATAATGGAAACTTTTCCATGAGAAATGTCTTTGTTCCCTTTTGGCTTTGATGGGAGGAGACACAAGGGGGAGAAGTGACTGAACTAGGAGGCAACCCATCTTTTGTCTTTTAAAGACACGCATCGGTGTTGATAACACGCCTTGAAGTGGAAAGGAAAGAAGGCTTCATGAGATGGGAAATTTCCAAGGAAAGTAGATCTGTCAACACTGATTCAAGAAAGGACCAAAATCAGATCTGAATAGATTATAAACATTAAATAAGTTAATACTTTATATATCCTGGCTGGGGAGATGGCTCAGTAGGTAAAGGGCTTGCTATGCAAGCATGAGGACCTGAGTTTGGCTCCTGTGATGGCTAATCCTGGGTGTCAACTTGACTGGATCTGGGATTAACTGAAATGAGAGAGATCTTCTTGATTGGATCATCTGAAGCTGGAAGACACACCCTAAATGTGGGTGTTACCTTCTGATGGCAGCCCATATAAAAGGCCACGCAGAGGAGAATGCCTTGGCTTCTTGCTGCTTGCCCTTTCTCTCTCGCCGGTGAGTTCGTCTTCCTGCTGTAGACTGAAGACTGGCTGATCTTTTGGAATTTGTCACACCTTAGGCGCCAGATTGGGACTACTGAGACATCCAGATTCTCAGCCTCTCCAGTGTGGTGCAGCCATCGGACTCTATCTTGTGAGCTAAGCTGATAAATCTCTATACATATATATTCATTCTACCAGTTCTGTTTCTTTGGAGAATCCTGACTAATACAGATTGTGGTACCAGGAGTGGTTCTAGAGAAACAGAATTGAAAGGATGAATTTCTTTAATGGGCTTGTTGGTATTTGGAGCAGGCTCCTGACTCAGCGTCTTCAGGTAGCATGGAGCACTGAAAATCCGTGATATAGACCATTTGAAACATTTATGGAGATAGACCCATTTGAATCTCCTAACTCATCTCTTGTGAAGAGCAAGAAGTTTAGTGACTCTATACATAATATTTGATGATTCATGGAAAAATAAGAAAAATAGTGATGCTGGCTGGTTACTTCTAGCATCTCTGGATAAAGTGATGAAGATAAACAATGAGCTTAATGATAAAATTGACTGGCTCCAGATTCAAATCAACAGTTTAAAAGCTTCCATGTGTGGCCTGGAAGAGACTCTTCTCTCCAGCAGCCAGAGAACTAAAGCTGCAGAAAATCAAGCTGGAGTCCTTATTAAGGATGACCTACAACACAATTTAATTACCAGCCTTGAAGAGTCTGCAGTAAAGGTGAGGGCTTTGGTGGGGAAAGATTGGAATCCTGACACATGGGATGGAGATGTGTGGAAGCACCCTGATTAGGCTGAGGATTTTGAATCCTCAGACTCTGAGGAATTTACTTCACCTCATGAATTAATTGCCCCACTCTCAGCAGAGAATGTATTCTACCACCCTGCAAACCTACCTCCCCACTCTTGCCTGAGGAAACAAATCTCATTCAGCAAGACACAGCTGATATCCCTCAGAGCCCAGTTATTGTTGCCTCTAGACCTATAACCAGACTCAAAGCTAAGCAGGCCCCCTAGAGGAGAGATAGAAAATGTGGTCCATGAGGAGGTGCGCTACACCACTAAAGAACTTAGTGAATTTGCTAATTCTTTCAAGCAGAAATCTAATGAATATGTCTGGGAATGGATTTTAAAGGTATGGGATAATGGTGGAAGGAACATAAAATTGGATCAGGCTGAGTTTATTGACATGGACCCCCTGACTGGAGATTCTAGGTTTAATATAGAAGCCCGGGCAGTTAAAAAAAGGTGTTAAAAGTTTATTCGATTGGTTGGCTGAGGTATTTATCAAAAGATGGCCTACTGACAGATGGCCTACTGATATCCCTTGGCTTAGTGTTGATGAAGGGATTGTAAAGCTCAGGCAAATTGGTATGCTCGAGTGGATCCACAGTGCAACACCAAATCCTCCACAATGGGAGGGCCCAGAGGACATGCCTTTTACTGATTTTATAGGATGGAAAGTACTGAGAGAGACACCAGAACATTTGAAGAGCTTTGTTTTTGCTCTTTTCCTTATGCTGAATCTTACAGTTGGAGATGCTGCTGCTCAATTGCATAAACTAAATGTAAATATAATAGGTGTAACAGGACTTCCAGAGTAGGGGTCAGGTGGCAGTATTGAATTATCAAAGATAAAGTGACCGTGCTTATTGTAATGGGTGGCAAAGGCAAAACAATACCTACAATGGCATGACTTGAATGGACCTGTGGTACTAGCTAACCAATCATGGTGTTCCCAGGGACCACATACATAAGAAGCCTACTAAGTTTTTATTTGATCTGTATAAGCAGAAAAGCTCCAGGAGTAATGACAGGAAGTCAGTATTGGATTGTAGCAATAGAGAATCTCTCTCAGTCAACCAATTTCCAGACTTGAGACAGTTTACAGACCCAGTACCCCTTGAATGAAGGGAATGCTGGGTGCCCTTGAGGAAGGACCTTGTTACAGTACCAAAGAGTTATGCTGTTTGCCTCTCACCCATCCTTCCCCAGAGGGATCTGTGGCCTTTTACTAGGGTAATTGTACACTGGGGGAAAGGAAATAATCAGAGTTTCTGTGGCCTATTGGATACTGGTTCTGAGTTGACACTGATTCCTAAAAAGCATTGTGGCCCTCCAGTTAAAGTAGGGGCTTATGGAGTTCAGGTGATAAATGGAGTTTTGGCTAATGTCCGAATAACAGTGGGTCCAGTGGGTCCAGTGGGTCCTGAACTCATCCTGTGGTTATTTCCTCAGGACAAGAATGTATAATTGGGATAGATATACTTAGGAATTGGCAAAATCCCCACATTGGTTCCCTGACCTGTGGAGTGAGGGCTATT